TCAGTCATGTGCATGGAGTTCTGTAGGCCTACCGGGGACCACGAGCCAGAACCTGGCACCCTCAGAGAGGCAAGGGGAGCAATGGCCTATAGGAACCCCCGTGTGGTTGGAAGCATTCTGTTTCTGCCATCGACCAGATCGGGCACCCAGAAAGGTAAGCGTCCCAAAACAAACCCCTATTCTGGTTAAAATTGCTACCTAATGCCGAACTAGTGGATAGAACTCCCCAAAAAGATACGAGCAAACTAGCATGACATCACACATCACCGCGCCGCTGTCTGCGCAGCTCCCCCCTCCCCGGGAGGGGGAAGGGGGAGCCCCAGACCCCCACGCCGGCAATCCACACCCCAGTTCTTCGGCTGATGCTAAAGGCACCGGTTGTGTGCTCCGGCTCCAGTGGTTGTTTCAGCACTGTACCTAGAGTGTGGTGTCTGTCTTCTAGGTGGTGCACGAGCCGGGAGTGAGTCTCCAGTACTCGGGCTTCATGCGCCTTGAGTTACCTTCCCTAGGTGCCCTGTAAGTACTGCCCTTGGGGCTTGGGGTTACCTTCCACAAGTTCCTTGGGTCCTGCTTCTGCTAGGCCGTTTACTGTTTGGTTTTCGGCCGCCCTTTGTGTGATAGGGGGTTCTGTCTCCCTTGTTCGCCTTAGGGTAAGGGGCAGTTTGCACTGGTAGGGGTGCAGGGTACTGTGCAGCTTGTTTTCACCAATCATAGCGGCCGGCTCTGTTCCGCCTGGGTATGCTGTACTCTTGCGGGGTTTTTTTCTTTTTGTCTACCTGGTGGGAAGGGAGGGTCTGCCTTTGGTTCTTTCCCCCCTTTTTGTACTGAGTTCTCTAACTTCTTCTAGTGGTTTCCCCATGCTAGGTCCCCGTGAGTGTACACATCCTGGGGGTTCAGTTCTTAAAAAACTGTTTGGTAGACATGGGTGCCGGTTAGCAGTATCCTGCCTGGGATTACCTGAGCACAAATCCTTTTATAGTAAACGCTCAGAACCCTGGGAAACCCCTAGGGGGAGCGTGGGCCTGATGTATGTGGCCCCGGTGTCCCACCTCACTTGTGCGAGTTCGAGGGTTGCTTTGTTCCCTTGTCTCAGGGTGAAACTCTCGGTTTTGCCTCCGTCTGCTGCCTGTGGGGTTGGTGACACCTTTGGCCCTAGAGTCCTGCGAGTTTTGTTTCTTGTTTGTGACTTGGTTACCCAGTCTTATGCTGACTATGAGGGTGCAGGCAGCACGGGCATTGCACGTTGGGTTTTGGTGGCAACGAGCTAGGTTGTTTGCTCCTCGGAAGCCCCGAGGCTGCCCCGTTTTGGTTGGTGGTCTTGTCTGGTCCTCTTCCCCCCTTCCTCCCTGCATCGGGGTCCTTACCGTCTGTGGGTTCGCGGTCGGGGCGGGGTTTCCATGGTTTTGAGACTCGGTTGGTCTGGGGGAATTCCCCTTCCAGGGTAGCGACGGGGGCATTCGACCCTGTTCCTCCAGCCGTGTTGTAAGAGTCTGCCAGTGGGCACCCTTTGAGCTTTTCACGGCTGCCCCTATTTTTTTCCTAAGGCTGGGGGTTTGGGGGGATGGCTCGGCCCCGGGGCCTACCGTGTGGGTTCCCGGGGCTTGGGAGGGGCTGACTTGGGGGGCCTCAGGCCCCGTTGGACCCTGCCAGTATTTTCCTACCCTCTGGGCTGGGCTTGCGGTTGCGAGGAGTGTGGTTTTCCTTCCCCACTCTCCACACGAGTTGTTGGGCGTCGGCCCCTCCCCGGGTTCGGTTCCTTTGTCCCTTAAGCCCTTTGGTTCCGTCCTGTCGGTGGGTGCTTTTCTCCGTTATTCTCCCATTTTTTTCTTGGGACGGGACTTCACCATGATGTTCCCCTCTTCTTGGGGTTCTGCATGACTTTTGGTCTCGGGTGCGACTGGGCCTTTCTATGCCTTCGTCATTTGTACTTGCTCCTGTGTTCTCGAAGGTTCAAGATGGTTTTTGCTCCTTCCTGTATTATTGGAACGTCTGTCGTCTTTCGGTGAGGCTTCCCTCCGGTCCTTTCTAGGGCTTGTTGGTCCTCTTCCGTGTTTCCTCTTGGTTTTCAGCCCAGTCTCGTTCTTTTATTCATGTATCTTCTCTCTGTGCTGTCTCGGCACTGCTCGTTTTCCTTCCATATTCCTGGTCCGGGTTGCCAGGTTGGGCTACTTGTAGCCCGGTTGGGCTACTTGTAGCCCAATTGGGCTACTGGTAGGCCGGTTGGGTTTCAATTCGGTTCATTGTTTTCATTACATGAGCCAGCTATGATGTCATTGCTTACTCCTTTTTGGCTTCGGTTCCCGTGCGTTGGGCTGTTTCTTATAAGCGAATCACTCTGGATACAAACTGTTGGGCTACTTTTCTTTATTATCCTGCGCATGCGCCGTGGGAGTTTGTTTTGGTTCGGGCGGTGTGCACAAGTGCTGGTGTTCTCCATCCATTTTCTCTCAAGTGCTTTGCCTCTCGCTCTTCTCATTCTTCAATCCATGCCCCGTTGCTCCCGGGGGTGTTCTGGAGTGCCGCTATGGGGAGGACACTGGGTTTTCCCTGCATTTTGGGTGGGGGGCGCCTCCTTTGCCTCTCCCCTCTTCTCCTGCATGAGCAGCTCTAGCCTGCTTCCACGGGTGGTACTCCCGGTTTTCTCGGCTGCAGGTGCATGATACCCTAGCCGCCTTCGGCAGCACCATCCTAGTAAAATTGTCATGACCCTTCCGTGCCTATGTTCTGCAGGTGAGTTTATGCGGTCTGACGTCTCCTTCGTCTAGGCGCTGGTTCATTTTGGGGGTACGAATGGGAGTACGTACGTACATGAGAACATAGAACATACAAACAGGGGTGCCTGCAGCAGGCCTATTGGCCCATAAGTGGCAGCTCTAGTTCCTAACCCCCCGATTCGAATGTCAGAACACAGGTGACTGCAGGAGGCCTCTTGGCCCATACGAGGCATCTCCTGATTATGTCCATCCAGTCCCTCTCCTATGCATGTCCACCCATGCTTGTGTTTCGGGGCTCCACCTCCACCGTGTTCCAAGGTGCAAAGGTGGAGGTACCTGATATGTGGTAAATGTTCCTATGTCGAGGGTGTTCTGTAGTGATGTTTAGCTGTGGTTTTGACACTAGTTGCCTGTTGGGGGTATGGTTGGGCATTTTGTTCGGCCCTTCTGTGCTTCTTCTTGGGGCCTTCCTTGTTTGGGTTCTTTGTTCCCACGATTTTCTGGGTCCTTCATTCCTTGCCGGTCTTGCTGTACCAGGCTTAGCTTTTCCATGTACATTGGATTATTTGTACTCCCCTAGTTGTCCTTACCTAGTTGTGCTTGCTGGGGATGAGCTTTGGCTCTTAGTCCCGCCTTTCGCCTGTCATTCGACTTCTGTACAGGTTTTTGAGCCTTCTAGGCTCTCTTATCTGCACTTGACGCTGGGTGTGAGGTTGGCCTCCGCCCCATCCCTTCCTCACGCATTCCTTTTGTCTCCTGCTCTGACACTGGTGTGCTTCTCCTCTCTTTTCTACGGCTCATTTGGGCATTTAGTTCAACATGTTTTCCCCATTACGTGTGCCCCATGTGTTCCTTGGCTTGTATTTCTCTGCATTGCAGCTTCCTCTGTGGATTTTGCTTGTGGTGGTCATGTCCCCTCTGGATCTTCAGTCTCCCGATGACGTGTTGGGACATGTCCAGCGGCTTTTGGTGTTGGTCCGGTCCCTTCGTTCCCATTTGCTGCCTACCTTCTTCGTTCCTCAGCTTCCTTTTGTCCTACACGTTGTGTGTTTTGTTTGTGCCTTTTGGCTCTCCTATTGCCAGGTTTCGATTCTGGTTCCTGGCTTTCCCGGCCTGTTGGCGTTTTCGGAGTCTCGCGGTGTCCCTTCTCTGGAGTCTGTCGGGGTCTTGGTCTCCAACCTCCTGGCGGCTCGCTGGCGTTGGGATGTTTTTCGGTACGGCAGACGTTCCATCTCCTTCTTTGCCGGCTCGGGTTTCCGGCTTTGCCTGCTCGATGGTCGCACCCGGGGTCTTCCCGCAGCTCCGCCTCTTCCTCGGCTCGTTCGGCTCTGCCTCGAGTCTCGCCTTCTGTTGGTGGTCAGGTGGCTTCGTTGCTGGTGTCCCACCTGCGTGCTTCTTCTTGGCGGCGGTGTGGGGTTTTTTGGCGGTCCTTCCTTTTCCTTCTGTCCCTTCTTAGGTAGCTGTGTTTTGTTGGCGTTGTCTTGTTCCTCTCTTGTGGGGGTTCGGGGCCGTCATTTTGCCGCATACTGTCACCTCATATCGCGTGGCGCTGGCAGAGCCGCTTTCGCTTGCGTTCGGTATTGATGTTACTTCTAAGCCGTTCCGCAAGCAGTCTCGTGCATTGTTTCACCTCTGGCCTGCTCATGCACCGCCTGTGCCGTCCTGGTCATTGGACAGAGTGCTCTTTTCTTTCTTCTCCTCGGTTTATGGTGGCCCCTCCGGTTCTGGTTTTCTGCTCCTTCGGTCGGGGCGGTAGGTTTGTTTGTCTGGAGCCGTCTCCTTCTTATCTGGCAAAGATTGAGACTGCTGCTTTCCGAAGGGGTCCTTGGGTTTTTGATGCATGGTTGGCACCCCATGGCCGGGGTTGCATCATGTTTTGTGACCCGTGGCGATTCTACGCCATTTTTTGCGCGCCTCAGCTTCTGTGTCCGTGGACGCATTTCGAGTTGCTCTGGTTTCCCTTCTTCCCTGTTCACGGGTGCGGGTTTCCCAGGTCGTCCACAGGATTCTTATGGCTAGCCAGCCTGTGGTCTATCCCCCGTGCTCGTGACGTTCGTAAGTTCGCGGCTCTTGCCGCCGTCTTTGGCAACGTGACCTGGTTTGACATTCGGGCGCAGGGTTTTTTGGTGGTCAAATGGGGTCCTGGCTGCTCGTTATCTCGTACTCGTTCCTGGGCTTGGCAAGATTGCTTCAGGGAACCACGGAGGGACTTCCCTAGGTAGGATTGAAAAAAGTTAGTAATTCCTTACACTGTATTGTGACTCAAATTTATTCCTTTTTTTTCAGCTTGGGTTATCAAAATTTTCTTGGAGCCATAATGAGTCAAGTAAAAGTATTAGAGAGGCTGGCCAGTACAAGAGAACTATCGGGAACACCTAGTCCTCCTTCCTCACGTCCCCCTTCAACTAACCGTGAGTCCGATTCTTCACCTAATTTGGAAGCCTCCCTCAGGTCCTCAATGCAAACTTCACCTGCATCAATTTCTCACCAACAGCAGAATCAGCAACATCAATCATTAAAACAGCAAACCCAATTGCAAAGCCAGCAGCCAATTCAGGAACCACAACAGCTAATACAGCAACAGCAGCTTCAGCAACCATTATCACAATCAAGTCTACCAAGAATGTCCTTACTGCCATACCAAACCTCATCAGTAGATGAAACTCTGCCAGAAGAGACTTTCTCTCAAACATCTGAGGTGGGCTTCATGGACACTGAATGTGATATTGCTCCACCTCTGGAGGAAGGAGGGAGTGCTGCTTGTGTCGTTTCTTAATTGGTTTGCCAGTGCTTCTGCCTACTGAAGAAAAACAAGTATGAATGTCATATTACATATTATTTAGAGGTATGTAGTATACAGAAATAGTGTGTTATTTTGTACAAATTTATTATTTTTGGACCAAAAGCAATTCAGCCAAACTTCCAACAGATCTTATTTCCCATTCCTATTCTTTTGATCCCAATATTACATACTTGTTGAGAATCTGCTTAAAATCATGACTAACGTGCATGGTTGATTATTACTTGTTAATTATTTAAACAAGGTTTAGTATTGTAATGCCTTGTGGCATAACTCGAGCTAATTAATTACTGATTGTACATTATGGACTCTTACTTATCACATGCTAATGGTCATTTTAAGACAAAATAGATATGATATTTGCCTTGTAGCTTCTGGATAAGACAAAATGAAGATTGATCAGCATTCTCATGGGATTCCTAAGCACTTGAATACATATGTTGATATGTCTCCATGTTTTTATATGTAGGCTTCCACTTCAAGTTGCCTATTCAAATAAACTTTAGTATTCATAATTTTTTTAACTTTTTTATTCAAGGATTAAAATGTTTAAATCTTACATTTATTTGTACTAATAAGAAATTTTTTGAACACACATTTTCAAAATTTCATACCTAGTTACAAATTGTTCACGGGCCCTTATTTTATTATGCACAGTACAGTACAGTAGTTGATTTTTTAAGGGAAACTAATGTTTTAAATTGAATTCATAACTAATGGCTTGTAACATGGCATTTATGATGGAAAAACTATTTTAAATAATTGTTTTGTCAAAGATATTGGTTTGATAAATATTTTTTTACGAAGACATTAATATTTAATGTATTACTGAAGATGTTGATATACACTCGGTGTATTATCAGTTGTGTTGGTACATAATGAACCATGTGAACTGATTGCTCTCTTAGGTAACTTTCAACAAATAGTCTTTTCTTCTAAAGCATCATATATTAAGTGATACTTAAAGCAGTCATGTATAAAGTCTTTGAGGAACTTGCATTCTTCATTAATACTATGCATGTCTGCTCCTGTTCATAATCAATTCCCAAACTGAAAAAGGTTAGTAGTTTTAGTGTTAATACCAGCAGGGAAAATGGCTAGATAAGAAAATGGTAACAAATCATATGGTAAATTAACATTTTTATTTTATTTAAGACTTGCATGAGTTAAATATAGGAAACATTTTATTAAAATATAAATAGTTGTTAATGTGATGGTGTTGTAGAAGAAAGATCAGTGTTAAACTAAGAGAGGAGATTTATTATTAAACACATTATATGGCCAGTAATACAAAGTTTAGAAAATGGTGTAGCCATGTTTTAGAACAGCATGCTAGTGAAAAGGTCACGTTTTGCTCACCAGTTTACACAACATTTACATTTTGTATGAAAAGAGATAGGAAGTACCTGAAGGCAGATCCAGAGTGACCGGGATAAAGGGGGAGAACATATTGTGTTAGGTTATGGTTGGAATATGGTGTAGATAGTGAGTAGCTTTGAGCTCATGCATGTAGAGGTGCCTCCCAGGTGCTGGTCACTCATTTATAATGCCGTAGACTAGTTAAGCCCATCTTGAGGAAATGTACAGTTAAATACTAACATCGTGGCATTTGGTATCTTACAATACGAAGGTACATGCATTTATTTTGATGATATAAGAATTGAGGATAGTGTAACCATAAGAAAGTGCTAAATATGCTTTGGTGCAAAGTATTTTGATATTCATATGACTGTACAGTTTATGTATAGCGTGTAGAGGAAGGGACCAAGTGGTAATTGATAAGTTAGTGAAAATAAATGAATTTTGGAGTTGAAACTTTTCAGTGTGTCAACATAGTGTTGTGTGTGTGAATGTGTGCAGACAATATGATTGAAATTGCTGCTTAAAGAAAGGAAAACTTATGTTTATGGTGCTATTAAAGAGTTCATAAAAAAAACATCAGTTCCTCAAAACTGAAGGTAATGATTGAATGAAACTGAATTCATAATTAATCATTGTATGAAGTATATATTTTTTATTATGTACATTTGACCATTAAATATTTAATGTTAACAATCTTGCAAGAATATTATATTCTGTAAGAAAAAAAATTAGATTACACATCAATCCAGTCAAAATATTAAGGAGAAATATGACTTGTAATCTTGTACAAGATTTATCATAATATTTTAGCTTTAAATTTGTAATATATAATCTCACACATTTTTTTATCCTGTTTAAACCCCTGATTGTGTGTTCCAATATAAATAACCTTCTTCTCCTCTCATAGTACAGTAGTGGTAAATGTTAACTCTTATGCATTATCTGGGCCGCTGACATCAATAAGATCTTTGCACTGAAAACCTCATTAAAACACCATTGAGCATCCAGAACTCAAAATTATTGGTTGCGAGACCATTGTTAATTGTAAATGTTTAGAGATTTATACACATTGGCCATCCTCCACCCACACACGTGCCTAACATGACAGGACTACCTTTCTCCTCACACACGTGCCTAACAAGACAGGACTACCTTTCTCCCCACACACACACACACGTGCCTAACAAGACAGGACTACCTTTCTCCCCACACACACACATGTGCCTAACATAACATGACTACCTTCCTCCCCACACACACACGTG